GGCTCCAAATCCTCCTGGTAGACGGCTGCGTTGACCCTGGACTTAATGAAGCCCAGTGGACCAACACCAGCAGATAAGTAAGGCTTGACATATCTCGCTTTGCATGTAATGCGTCTATCTCATATATTGGTTTCACCTTGTGAGTTGCCTTACTGACATAAATGAACATTTGCACGATATTCTAATTTTTCGAGTTTCACCTGTAAGTCTAGAGTGACCAAATGCATACTAAGACCATGAACAGACTTCCAGAACATTAGCAGGTGCAATTTTTCTGACTCCCTTCTCAAAATCAAAACAAACAATTTCCCATTACCAAAATGCTAAAAACATGGGAATTGTTTCCCCTGGTACACAGGCATCAGATTACACCCCTTTCTTATTTATGAGTGTCCCAAACCAGGGGGATTTATAAAGGACAAAAGATTAATGCCTTTGAGCCCTTTTCAAGCCCACGAAGATTCTTTTGTGCCTTAAGTGTATAATGGCTTCTCATCTCACAGACAAAATCTATGATAAGTCACAGCTTTATTCTCATTATGGATAGCTGCAATATAATCCCACATCACTTTACAAATAATTAAGGGATTAAATCACTTTCTGTACATAAAATTCCTCTCAGCTTGCTGTGAGTGACATCGGTATCCCTTCCCGCTGTATAGAAGACCTTGACAGATGGAAAAGCAGGCACAACTTCACACCTACCACTAAATTCCTTTTTCAGGAAGAGCTGGAAACTCTGGCGGCCTTTGGGATCCTTCATCAGCTCGCTAAAGTTTAAGGCCCATTTCTCCACTCGTGCTTTGGTGGGGATTTCTACCCTGCAAACAAAGAAAAAGTCTCCTTTAAATTAAAGATTGGTTTCTGAAGACATCATGGACCTGCCCACATAAATAAACAGTGCTGTTTCTCCCTGAAATCAATTATTTTGAGACTATCTATTTTGTTTTGAGTTTTGACAGAAAGGAGAACACTGCCTGTCCCTCCTGCGCAAACATGTATTCACACTTGAATATCTTGACTGCTTTTGACTGATTTTTCCTCTGTCTTCTAATATACTACGATAAAGCAACTCAAATCAGGATGTTGCAGGTAAGACAAAGTGTCCCTCAGGTCAAGCTTAACTCCTGGTAACTACATGGACTTGGAAATATTATTTTCTTATCAGAAATATTGTTTTCTTAGCAAAAACCAAAAAATGGTTTGCCATTTTCTGACAATGATTTCCCAGCTTCCCAGTCTAGTCTATATCCTGCGATGATCCCCAAGTACTATCTAGACCCATCCTTGCTTAGCTTTTTCAAGATAGCCAAAGTTGGCTAAGTATTGCCATATGAAATAGCCAGTGATTAAGTATTGTAATATATGTTAGGATCATTATAGGAACATATTCCCCTTTAATTCATACAATTACTTCACTTTGTTTGTTGTTCTTGATTTTTCCACCATAGATAAAAGCATGAATCCTAATTACATTTTGGAGAATGCACACTGCAGGCAGAGGAAGTAAATTTTGTGGTGGCATCTGCAATCAAGAGCAAAGTGTGCACTGATAAGATCTTCCCCCATATAAACATTAAAATGGCTCATTCTAAATTAAAATGTAAATTTAGAGTTTACATTTGTCAGAATGTTTATTCAAATAACATGTCTCCTCTCCTTTCCAAAGATGTAGATACAGTTGACAAAACCAAAAGGAAGATATCATCAGGATCATAAGATCTTCAACCAATTGCAATCCTTGGCTCCTTAACAGTTTCAAAGGGTGATAACTGACTACTTCTACAACACCCACTATTTTATTTTGCCCATTCTTTTCTTACCTTCTGCTTGCTAAAGCAGGCAGAAAAATAGCAAAACCAAAATGGATGATGAAAGCAAGAAGCACAACAGCACCTTCTTGCTTTGCCCTAAAACTTTAAAAAAAGAGCAGTATTGTCTCCAGATAAAGTAATGTAAATTCCCACTGGCCCTGCCCTATTAAACAGGAAGATGAAGGAAACAGAAATTTATAAACAATTGAAAGTTGCTCTTATACGAAAAGAAAAGAAAGGAAAAGAAAAGAAAAGAAAAGAAAAGGGTTAGAGTCAATGTAGTAATTCAGAAGCTGAATTAAATGCAATACGTACAGTTTTGCATTGAGTTCCCAAAAATCCACATCATCGGTAAGCCAAGGGTTGCTGGGGAGGCATCCTGAGATTATGGGGTCGTTGGAGCAGAACTGCTCACAGTACTTCACTATTCTGAAAATATTGGAAACAAAAAACGGAGGATCATCTACATGCAATATTTTAACCCAGAATAAATAAATGAATTAATATTATTCACATTGGTTTCCAATGACTTTCCAGCATGAAGAACATTTCATTGCTGATATGATGTAAACAGTAACACTTGCAGTTTCATAGTTAGCTTATTATTGATGTGCCAGTGATATTGTTCCAATATTGTATACAGGGTTGAGATATGGCACTCTCTGAGAAACTAGCTTCAAAAGACTAATTATACTACACTTGAATCTCTGCAGGTAGCAGCATTTGGCCAACCTTATCTGGACTCAGAAGCGAGACATGTTTGGGCCTGATTACTGTTTGGAAGGGAGACCTCCAGGGAATAGCAAGACTAGATTAGGAAGTTGAAAAAACACTTTAGAAGAAGGCAAAGGCAAACCACTTCCATGAAGACTCCAGGAGTCACGCACAATTTTAAGGAGACTTTATTGTTTATATTATACTAATACCGATATAGGCTTTGTACAACTATAGAAAAATCAGGTCTGAAATACACATTTCAAAATACTAAATGGCACATTCTTAGAAGGCTCCACTTTAGAATGATACAATGGAACAGATGTTTAAATGCATTCCCACACCAAAAACAACCAGCCATAGAAAGCTTGCATGATAGAAAAGGTCTATCTTAATTTTAACCCAGATACAGCAGTTCTCTATGTGGAAGATTTTTGTTTTGGCATGGGAGGTAATTCAAATATGGGTTCCCTCACTTGCTGTTTGAAGTCTAGGAAGAGATATACCAAATAATATTTCTAGACAAGTTCATTGAGAATTTAGCTGTTGAGAATTGGGCTTCTATTGGCAGATGCTTGGTCTGGCAGATATTCAAGACCACCTTACATTTTTAAAACAGTCAAAAACTTGGCTAGAATCCTGACATTTACATGTTACAGTGCAGGAATGCAGCTGGGATTTTCTATAATCACCCTCCAAAGTACCTTCCAGCAATACTTGCTTATACAAGCAACAAACCACAGCATTGGTTTTGCTGCAACCCCATGGTAAGTTCCTGCTTATAGATGTTTCAGGTGAAGATGATTATACCCACAGTAGAGCATATAAACTCTTATGCATACAACCTCTGGGACTGCAAGGTTATATCATAAAGAAGAAGAAATAACAATTTGTTTAGCACCTAATATACAATAAATTCAAAATAGCTCCTCAAATTATATCCCTCTCAACTCACCACAGTTCAGAAACATGGTAAAATATGCTGAAGATACAGAAATAATAATAAACAGTACAAAAATTCTATTATTTTCAGGTATTGCTCCCAGAACAATGAATCGGGAAAATAAATGTACAGATTTAAAAAAGGATGGAATTAAATACAGATGGAGCTTCCCTGCCCAATGTTCAATGTGTTAAAAGTATAATAATAATTGTGGTTCAAAACATGTATGACTCAGAATCTTAGATCACAGCAGAAATGAGAAACTGATCACTAAAGAGAATTCATATACAGATAATAAGCTTGATCCTTTTAAAACAGGAAATTCACTCACGCATTTGGCAAATATCCTAGTTGCTCTAAAAACTATTATTATATAGTACTATTCAATAACTTTCTTTCAACAGGTTGCTGGATTAGAAATAATGGTAGTTAGGAATCAGAGGGACAAGCAAATAATGGAAATCTTAGAAGTGTGCATGGCTTATTTTTCAGTGATAGGTTTAGCTAAGATTTGGGGCTGAACTCCTCCGAGAAAAAGGATCTTGTAAATCCGTTAAACAATGCTGCCCTGGAAAACCTAGGAAATCTCAACCCCATCTCAACCTTTTTAAGTAGCTTTCTGATGCATCCCCTACAAATTGGCAACTGAAACTATGGAACTGAAGTTCCTGCTCAAAAGTCTAGCTGTAGAAAGCACGACTGTTCAGCTTGTTAAAGATCCCGGGGAGGATCTCAGAAGGTTACAAATTTATGAATGTTGGGAAACGTGGGAAACAAGCCCATAGGGGGAAGGAGGGATGTATACATGTATGCCAAAGATGCACCACTTGTGAGCCTTTTTGGACTGAGATGTCCTTACAACATGACTTATGCCCTCATCATCTCACAGTTAAACTACTGCAACACATTTTACATGGGGCTACCCTCAACAGTGATTCAGAAACTGTAATTGGCCCTGACTGCTGACAAGAGGAGAGAGGTTTAGCAGTGTGACACCTCTGTTGAAGTTGCTGCATTGGTTAACTATAAACTTCCAGGTCCAATTCAATTCCAGTTTTAAAATCTTACATGGCTTGATACCCGTGTGCCTTCTCCCTGAGAGTAACTACTTCAGGTCCCCAACTGAGCGAGGTTAAGAGGGTGGGGCCCAAAGATGTGTCTTCTTGGTTGAGGCCCCCATGCTTCCTGAAGTAAGGAGAGCCCCCACCCACCCTCAAGTTATGTTTTACAAAGCAGCAAAAACCTTCATATTCTGATGGGCTTTGGGAAGGACAGTAGACCTGAGATGCTTTTATTATTTTTATTGGTGTTTAATATTAGTATACAATCCACCCTAAATCGTGAGAAGTTACAATCATATAGAAATATTGAGATGGATGGATGACAAGACAGGGTATGTGTGTATGTGAGGTAAGAATGTAAAGTGTGTCTGTAACAGAGGGACACAGAGAGAGGGAGAGAGGGAGGAAAAGGGTTTCTGAGAATGAAAGACGGAACAATTATACGCTTCTCTGCATATCATGACATTCTGCTTACTGTCAGCTATAGCTTCCACTAATACTAGTGTGGCTTTCTTAAAAAATCACATCTCATTACTGGATATTTATATCTGTCAGTTTAGGGATTCTTTAAAAAAAGGCCTCTGGACCAAGCTCAAGTATCATAGCAAGCCTTTTCTACGTTTGAAAAGACAATCTCTAGCTAAATCGCTTGATCAAAAGCATCAGTTAAAGAACATACAAGGTGTCAGCGCTTACCCTCCCAGAGAGACAGATGACTTTACTGTAGTCTTCATCATGGCCTGTTGGTAGTACATGATCTGTAAAGGCAGAAATTTCTTGTGTATTTTAGCAGAACATCAGATAATTGAATTCAAGTTTTATCCACTAAGACATTTGTGATATTGTTCCATAATATTGTGTGACCCTCTCTTGCATGAAGTGAATGCCAAGAAGACAGCTTCCTGAATTATAATCTAAGTCTTTATGAAGTTTCTTGTTTTGGAAATATGAGAAATAAACTAAAGGGACATTTTATTACAAGCTCATTTCCATCACCTGCCATCCCTGGGTTGTCACTATCCTTTTGTAAGACTTCCACTTAAAAGACAGAGAAACAGGAACGGCCATGAAATCAGCCCAGAATGGAGTCACATATGTGTGTGGGTAAACTGTGAGGGTTAGACAAGTGTACAACCTTTTTTGGAGGCACAACAGGAACCACTAACCTAAGCCTCACATGTCAAAGCACCAATTTAAAATTATTTTGAAATGATTGCATGGATCAATACTTTACATCCAAGAAAGTAAAACAAATCAGTTAAAATATACCAAGTTTTATTTCAATATTTTGGATTTCTTCACACACGCTTCCATTTATTAGACCACTGATTTCAATGGACAAAAATAATGACAAATGAAAGTGCACTGATGTAGTAAGAAGGAAGGGTGGGGGCTACCCTGAACATTCAGCCCCCAGGCATTTCAGTGTATTAAATAGATCCAATGACTGTGTAAATGACATGGCATAAATGTACCCATTGTGATAATTTGGGCTGAGAATTGGCAGCTGAGGGAAAAGAAGTCAAAGAGCTGGTTGTACTGTCAAGCAGAATAAAGTGATTAATGAGAACCAAAAACAGGCATTGTAGGGGGGCAGGTGATGAAATGTGCAATATGCCATCGTGATGCAAATACTGTAGTGCAGCTTACACACTTGTTTCAGGCATTGCTACACAAGTAGCTGATGGCAAGATTTGTGACATGGTGTCACCGTGTGTGTAGAAAGTTAAGGAGATGATCTGGGAGAAACAAGGCAGAGGTGATGTTTGCAAACATGCTTTAAGCCCAGGAAAGAGAGAATTCAGTCAGGGTTTCAAGATCCTGTTACCACAGCCTATATCAATAAAGCAGAGTTCCAGCCAGAATTGTGGAGTCTGTTTCCTGACCTGGACCACCTTGAGGAGCTGACAGTGTATCATCGTTTAGATGTCATCATGGTTTGCTATGGATGCCTGTGGTAGCTAGTAATAAATTATTAAATGATATACGATTATCTTTTACTATGGCCAGAGAAGGAATTGGGATGTTCTACCTTAGGCCATATCATCTCTTAAGCCATTCTAAAATACTTGGTACCAAACCATGGATGCAAGGGAAGAAGCCCTAACTGAAGGAAGCTACCAGGATTTTACTTGCCTCCTGACAGCAGCATTCAATCTGGCTAAAAATGGAATTTGGATGATATGCTTTTATTCATATATTAAAACAAAAGCAAAAAGACACCCAAGATTTTAAAGTGTTCAGAGAGTGATTCTGAACAATCTCTGGCCTGCTAAAGTAAGATCTTTATATGTGGTATAATTTTTAATGCAGACTACAATTACACTAATAGCATACATTACAACAAAGGAATTACCTCTCTCCTATATACATCAATTGTTTTTTTCTGTAAAACAAAGAAACACTGCATTTGAAAAGAGTATCACAGCCTCTTTAACAATTAAAACAAAATTTAGATTAGCATCAATCCACTTCATTAACAAAGTGTGAAGAACTTCCATGGACTGTATGATTTCACTAAGTCTTATTTAGTAGCTAGTAGTGCCTGCTTCTTCTCAGCCTATACAACTGTATGCATTTAATTACAGATTTATTGTAATGGAGCTAAAGTAGACTCATTTAAGAGACAGAAATTAGATCATTCAGCATTAGTGAAAAGCAACAGGAAACAATATATTGCAACACATAAACATTGCAATTAAAAGCCCCAGAAACAATATCTGCTGTGGTTATGCTATGATTTAAATAGCTCTGATGATGTTATATGACATCCGCCAGCCAGCCAGCAACTGAAGGCTAGAAATTAACTGCAGGTTGCTTGTGCCTGCAGTTCCTTTTGAAGTATCATGCATGACTTTGTTTGAAATAAGCTGATGGAAACAGAGGGAAGACATGTCAAGCACAGGCTTTCAGCAAAACCCCTAAGTTTTATGGAGGCCCTTTTGCTTCTGTGACTCTCATTCAAGCCCTCACTAGATCACATTCCGCAAACCCGCAAACCTGAGAAGTTACTACATGCATGCAAATGTACACAATGGGGTCTGGATACCACTTTCCTTTCCTTTCCTTTCCTTTCCTTTCCTTTCCTTTCCTTTCCTTTCCTTTCCTTTCCTTTCCTTTCTTGTTTTAAAATAATTTTATGAGAGGATGCATTTCAAATACAAGAGCAATTGGGGGAAAGGTCCAAAGTACCCCCCCCTTTTTTTTGCCAGTTTTGGACGAAAACTGTTCTTTTCTTTATGTATGGGATTCAAATGTATGTCTATTAATGAGGAATAATTTTTCACAAGCTGATTCCGCAAGATGACTTTGGGCCAGTCATTCTCTCTCTGCCTTGCCTACCTTGCAGAGTGCTTGTGGGCATAAAATGAGGGTGTAGTCACCTTGAGTTCTCAAAGAAAAGTGGAATATAAATAAATTAATAACACATGCTCTCAGTCCAATCTATAAAGGACCACCGATTACCAAATACAATAGCATCCAACTTAGCCATAGTTCATTCAGTATGACCTTGGCATTGCTAGGATACTAGAATATCCATACAGTACCAATAGAATTGTATCTGTATACTGTACTTTGCTCCTCCAGAGAAATATCAGTTTCAGAGGTGTGAGCAGTTTTAATCAGAAAAGTGCCATTGAGGGAAACATTTAATCCCAGTTACCAAGTACTGCAGTCCAGCTGAAACCTGGGCCACCAGTGGTTGCTATTATACTTTTAATGGCATCTAAGCACAAGCCCTCCCAAAATCTTGTCAGACTCATGCATTGTTAGAATCAAATCCTTCTCCCAAAGAAAGTGCAAACAGACGTTGCTTCACGCTACTACACTATTATTTTTTGAGCTTGTATCTATACTGCAAATATTTAAGACATTTATATCCCAATTTTTCTTACAAACATTAGGGACCTAACAATGAGAAAACAGCAAACAAAGGAACTAATCTTTGAAACTGGACCCTACAGATTACTATCACCTCTATCCAATGTGAAGGTACTCAATAGCACTTCTGTTATACAAGATACAGGCTTTAAGAAAATATAGATGAACTTTGGATATGTTTGTTTATTTAATGTCTCCTGATACTATTTTATTATTGTAGATAATGCATTATAGGATGGTATGATAAATCTAAGGCAGACCAGTTAAAAAATAATATAACAATACAGTATCACAGTTAAAATGAAGACTTCCTTGGAAGTTATTTTTTCTTGCCAATTTTAAGGGTCACTTCTAATTCAGTAAACAGACACCAGCAAGTTCATCCTTTAATCAGTAAAAAAATCTACCTCCTTGCTTGTTTACAGAAAAGCTGCTAGAAAGAAATTACAAAAGTCTCCACCCTCATGTCTTAGGAAGATAAATTGGTTTTAGTGGGAAGTAGTTAAGCTGTCAAAATTCCTGTAGTCTATTTATCTCTTTCACTTCAATAAATCTTGTTAAGATGACTGATTCATGCTTGGAAAAGGGTTACTTTTGGTATGAGTCAACTGCCCAAGAGCCTCATATCAACAAGGGTATAAATGAAAGAAAGTCTAAAGATGCACAAATCAAAACTGGTAGGTGATCTGTGTTTCAGTAGAGGTTGCCTGATGGTTTGCGTTAATGATCTTGTGGCTGCGTCACTGTATAATGGTTGCTGGGAAGACTTGTCTCCAAAAGAATAGATAACTGTTCACTCATACTCAAGACAATAAAAGGATGTACCAGGATAGACATTACATCTGGCTTGCTTATGTAAACCATTTAATTTGTTAGGACAGTTTCTTATCCCACTAGACAGTCTACAATTACAATGAAATTCCAACTGAGTTCCCACCAATCAACAACAACAGTATGGGGGCTAATGTAGGAAATAAAAAAGGCTTACAGTCATAAACATTTTTTTAAAAAATCAGCTGAATTAAAGTAGATCCAACCCTCATTCCAGTTGATTTCCATATCCCAGGCATAAATATATAGTAATGTATAAGGAGAACCAAATAGGATGAGATTCACATTGAAATGACAGCATATTAGTCTTCTATAGAACAAGCAGCCAAGTACTTCACAGAGAATGAAGTTCATACACATCAGAGAAAAACAGACTAGAAAGAGAGAGAAAACAAAAGATAGGAGGGAAATGGTTAATTAACTATTTTGCACACAAAGTACTTCATGAAATCAAAGTTATATCTGCTATTTTAAACTGGAATTTTTCCCCCTTTGTTTTTCGACAATTTTTTTCATCACTGCATTATTAGTTATTCATTCTTCATTTAGAATTAGTCTAAATGCAACCATTGATTTCAGGCTGTTACACTCAGTTTCTGTTATTCCCTACATACTTGGAATTGACTGATGACCATAGTAAAACTCCAAATGACCAGAACTGAATCTAGAATTTTACCATTTTTTTGCAATTTTTTTTTAGTCATCATAGAATAGTTTATGAAATATTCTGCATCCATCCTTGCCCTACTTGGCCTCTCTGCAGCTTTGGATACGATCAACCACGGTATCCTTCTGGATCAGCTCAGAGGTTTAGGGATGGGCGGCACGGTGTTGTGCTGGTTCACCTCCTTCCTTTGGGGCAGATTCCAGATGGTGGTGGTTGGGGAGAAGAGATCCCGGCCCCGGCCCCTGTTATGTGGGGTGCTGCAGCGTTTGGTACTCTCCCCCTCCTATTTAACATCTACATGAGGCTGCTGGGTGGGCTCATCCATTGCCATGGGGTGAGGTATCATCAGTATGCTGATGATACCCAGTTACACATCTCTGCCCCTGGCAAATTAAGCAATGCTGTGAATGTCTTATCCTGGTGCCTGGAGACTGTGAGGGTCTGGATGGGGACCAACAGGCTTCAGCAGAACCCTGGCAAGACTGAATTGCTTTGAGTTTTGGGGCCTGCCGGTTCTAGGATTATGCCATCTTTGGTGCTGGATGCCATGGCACTGCCCCATACAGACCATGTGCATAATCTGGGGGTCCTCCTGGACTCACGAGTCCTGCTCGAAGTGCAGGTGGCAGTCATGGCCTTTGCACAGCTTTGTATTGTGCACCGTTGCACCCGTTCCTAGATCAAGGGGCTCTGCTGACTGTCACTCATGCCCTAGTCATTTCCCGTTTGGATTTCTGTAATGCGCTCTACATGGGGCTGCCCTTGAAGAGTATCCAGGAACCTCAGCTGGTGCAAAATGCAGTGGCATGGGCAGTTATGTGTACCCTTAGAGCAGTACACGTTATACCTCTGCTGCATGAGCTGCATTGGTTGCCAGTTTGCTTCCAGGTCCAATTCAGGATGCTGGTTTTCACCTTTAAAACCCTTTATGGCATGGGGCTGGGTTATCTGAGGGACCGCCTCTCCCCGATTACATCTGCCCATCCTATCAGATCTGGCAGAGAAGACATGCTGTGGGCCCCGTCTGCCAGGGAATTACATCTGGCAGGTCCCAGGAGGTGGGCCTTCTCTGCTGTGGCACCCACCTTGTGGTATCTTCACCCCCCATTAGTGAGATTAGCTTCATCCCTCTCAACATTCTGCAAGTCCCTCAAAACCTGGCTGTGTCATCAGGCCTGGGGGTCCCAGGGGACCAGGGAGATTTTGCGATGGCTCTCTTATTGTGCTTAATATCATCCTGTTTTGTGTGCTTTTTATAGTTATTTTTAATTGTGACTGTTTTTATGTATTTATTGTTCTTTAAGTGCTGTACGCCACTGAGAATCACTTTTATGTGAGATGGGCAGCTGTATAAATACGATAGATAAATAATCTTCTGTATTCAATGTCATTTCTCCATTTGACATTAATCACTAGATTAATGTTTTCACTTTAGATAAATAGCAGTATCTCCTCTAGGAGAAGAGTGCTATACCACCCATAATACTTCTAGATGGTGCCCAACGACCCTCTCCATATTTTTGAAATGATTTTTTTTCATTAAAGATATTCAATTTGTCATGAGATACCCAATCTTTGAAGATCTCTGCATGCTTACAAGTACTTATTGAAATTTGGTCCTTTATTTCATTAATCTTTTGGGTTTATTTTAAAAAAGTTTAATTTTGGGTATCTATGACATTACGCAAAAATCATTAGATGATGTCCACTATTAAAAAAAAAAAGTTCATCTCCACTATAGGACCTGGGGTAGGGGATTTCATATATTGTATACATTAAAATGTATTTCTATTTTAAACATGTTTAAACATGCTTTTTCACCAAAGCTGTTTATTAGAAACATAAAACATAATAATTTAAGTATGAAATAATATTTATTTACTAGGTTTTATACTGTCATATTTCCCAAGGACTTATGGCATTATACAAAGTTTCATTATGATTTCATCACCTCTTTACAGATAAAACATTATAATATACATTGATAGTCACTTTTGTACAGCCATGTCTTTGTGGGAGAATATCCATGGCTGAGAATGAAATTCAGTCCACTTGGCCTATAACATCCTACCAGTTTTTATATGTACAGTATACAGTAGATGGGAAAGCCTCATTGAACTTCCAGATAAATGTTTCACTTCTCCATTCTAATTAACATTTGTAATGAAGGATTTCTATATGCATTTTCATGAACATGTTTATTTAAGGCTGGGGTCCCACTACAAAAATGATGACTCCAGAGCCAATTTGGGAGGTGGGATTTAGGAATACTAAGGAGTGAAATGGGAGTTTTAAGCATATATAAGAATCAGGATAATAATTTTGCCTCTGCAAACCCCCAACAATCCCAAATATGTAAATAAAAAGACCCAAATTTTGGCCCCCTCTAATCTGTGAAATTCTGAAGGCCACAAAGGCAATGCTGATGGAAGGTCACATCCAGGCTTTGGGCCATTTTTTGCACTTTTAATTTAAAGGACATTATGCCAAGAAGTGCAAACACGTTTTACTTTCAGGACTGCCTTTACCAACCTATAGTCAGAGAGGGATTTTCTATATTTTCTATATTCCTAATATAACCCTCATATATGACCTTTGGCCATATATTAATAACCCTCATATATCACCAAATGACCCTTCCAGCCAGTACAATACATACACCATGGCAGAAGTCAGCCATCTGTTTCTCTGCTACCCTTTCAATAGTCATGAACTAAAGTTTTCAGCATTCAAATCAAAGTTTGCTCTTGCTGGAAACCTTTCCCAGCTACTAATCCTAACATCCCCAATGCAGCAGGAGGAAAAAACATAAATCTTTCCCTTCTTCCCCGCTTTCCTGCCTCTCAGCCATGAATGAGGCTTCCATCTCTCTAAGATATGTGTCTCTCACAGCTCAACACTGTCTCTCATGTGGTCCCTGACTGCAGTCTACACCCTCTCCTGATTAGAGTTTTCCCCCGAGACTGGAAGAAAAGAGGGTGCTCCCCTACTAAGGGGAGCAGAGATTTTGAAAGGGCCAAAGGCAGTGGGGAGCGGGAGGGAGGGTGAAGGCAGCATGTGGTGAAAGTGATATCACTCGTATGTCTTAATCCAGGATTAGGATCCAGTTTTATAACCTATCTTTGGGTAGCACTGGAAGTACTGTAAGTGAGCAATGTAGCTTGCCCTGGTGATATTTTCCCCTTCAAGTCCCTTGGGCTGACAAATCTTGGTTCTCTTTTCAAGAAAGATCTATCAACCACCTCCTCTTACAGGGAAAAGGTAAGTCCTAAACTCCTGCATTTATATCTCCTCTTGAGTCTCCATGGCAACAAAGCCCACTTGCCACTGCGATTCCCTGCCTCTGAAAGCTGCAGTAGTGGAGAGCTTGATTCAGATGAGAAGTCTGTTAGCACTGCAAAGCATCACATGAAAACAGTGCAAGATGTTTGGTTTATATCAGCTGGATATCAATCAAACATTGTCCAAGCCTCACCTTCCACAGGGGTCCCACTGACCTATTAATATCACTCCAGATTTTCTGTCTCCCTTATTCCTTCATTCTCTGTAGAAAGTTTATTAATGTGGTTTTGTTATATTTTTTCTGTCATTTGTATCTGTCTTTTTATCTGATTGTTGTACGCTGCCCAGAGTCGTTTTGGTGAGATAGGCGGCTATGTAAATTTGCTTAATAAATAAAAATAAAAATAAAAGCCCCATGATGTGACTGGCATAAACTGCCTAGCAGTGTTATACAAATCAGGTACAACTGAAATTAGGTATGAGCTTAGAAGGGCTTAATTCTCACAGAGCTCTGGATGCAGTTCAGGTCAAACTAATAGGATTTCAGTTTCTTTAAAATCTGTTGCTCCTTGTGAATTCATCCCATAATGGAATGCCAAGGAAGGGAAGAAGGAAGGGGGGGAGAAAGAAAGAAAACTAAAGACCCTCTTACAGAGAAAAAACTTAATATTTCAGGGCAAAAATTACGTTAGAACCTTTTTGTACATCATGATCAATTTGCATGCTCGATTTGCTTTCAGCTTAATTATAGATGGTGATCTATAACGAGATCTCCCATCTCTTTACATTTTGATTTATGACAATCATAGGAGGGGTTGCAGTCCACCCTGAAATCCAGGGGATGGCCCACATATACTTTAAATAAAGGTATAAATGAAATAAACATGTTTTATTTCAAATGTTTGAACTACAGCACCATAGAAGCGGGGGGGGGGGATTAACTAGTCTTTCGGATGAAGACTGATTCCTACCATTCCTAAAGGTCTGTTTAAAAATAAAAAAGCCAACCACCTACCCCGTGCACGTATAAAAGTTCAGTAACAGTACACTGCCAACCATTTGTGCAATAAAATTAATTACAATGTAAGTTTACAAGACTGTAATCAGAATATTATTAAAGCTTACCTAGTTTACCTTATTTTCACAGGGATCAGTCACTCGATTCAACCCATACTCAAGTGCGTCTTGCATTCCAGGCTATAATATAGAAACAAAACGAAAATGTAACCAAGATGTATTTATGCCATATAATTTTTTATAATAATAGGTATAGTTAGAGCTATGATTTAACTAGCAAGTACAGGATGCTCTAGCTGCCATTTTAGCTACCAAGCTAAATCCAAAACAGGCAAGAATTTAATTCATGTTTTATGAATATTTATTACAAAATTTACACTCTGACCTCTCTAAAGACATTGGCTGCCTTACATCTTTTAAAACATAATGATACTATCCATTAAAACAATAACTAATCACTATAATTAGGAATTATAATATAGAATGTAATCCAATCTCAAGATAATGAGGGCAACAGTGATCTTTGCCAAAGCTTTCTGCTCTCTAAAAGGCTGCAACTGGCGCATCAGTCTAAGTTGGGCAAAGGAGCCTGACCATGGTCTCCACCTGCTGATGAAGCAGAAGCTCTGAATCCAGAAGAACTACCAAGTCACGAACGTGCTACGTCACAGTGGGAGTGCAACGTCATCCAGAGCTATCATAAGAGCTGTACTGAGTCCTAGGGTTTCTGGACAAATAGCAACTCTGTCTTGTGGTGAATCAGCCTGAGTTTGTTTAGTCCCACTCAGTCTCTCACAGCCATCAAACACCAAATGGAAATACTGACTATAGCTCTGATTTGGCCATGGGAACTAATATGCACCCTGATGATACCTCATCCTAACTGATAGATAGGTAAAACATAATGAGACTTGCAAGATTGATGTCAGCCCCAATATGTAGATCAGACCAAGAAATTAAGACTAAAATTACTTTTATTAAGATTGGCTATAGTAAGAGAATCTTGCAAATGTGATTATGCTTTATCTACTCCTCTTCTCTTATACTAAGGTGAATTAGGATGGTTTTGCATTCCCCTTTCATTGTGTGGGCTTAAGCAATATTGATTGATGGTACCAAAAACTGTTGACAGGTCTAAAAGGACCAGCAAGGATAGTCTCCCTCCATCCATATCCCAAGAAAGGTGATTCACAAGAGTGACTAATGCAATTTATGTCCCACAGCCAGATCTGAAGCCTGACTGAAAGGGATCCAGATATTCTGCTTCATTTGAGATTTCTCTGCAAATATATATCTCTCCCACCCCTTGCCAAAAGATCATCTGAGACTAGATGGAAGTTGTCCAACATGGCAAGATCAAGGAATGGCTTCTTCAGAATGGTGGTGGTGGGGTGTTTAAGAATCAACCCCCATCCTCAAAGAATCATTAACTTAAAAAAAAAAAGAAATTAAAAAAAGGGGGGGTATCATCAACAAAGGAAAAAAAAATAATAGTGACTATACAGGGAAGAAAAAAATATATTTTATTTATGTATTTATATTTCAAATTTGTCACTGCCCATCTCACTGTGGATATATTATAGTGATTAAAATAAAGTAAATGTGACAAAAAAGACTAATTAACAGAAAAAAGGATCCATATAATAGCTGTAATTAACTATGTAAAATCAAATCAATCCTGAATTAACCGCCTCTCAGATCCAGCCAGAAGGGCATGAATCCAGGTATCAGAGCTCATGTTGCAATATTCTAGCATCCTGCACAAATTTATTATATATAAAAACATGTATAATGTATTTTATATATCCAAAAGTGTTATTATCAGGCTGAAATGCATTGGACTTATAATTAAATATTTTATTAGATTCCTGAGCTTTTGTGTCTTTTTCTCATGATTTTGCTGAATATTTTCTTGCTTCTGAGTCCTTGTGTACATGTATGCGTAATTTCAAAACAGAGAAAAACTCAGATTCCAGTGGTCAGGATTAGAAGTTACCATCCTCTGGAAATCTATCCTTAGGATTAAGAGAAGTAAACTAAATTCAGTATTTTCCAACTGCTAATTCGCTATGTAGAACACATAAATGCATATTTACTTCTGCAAACATTTTTAGAGGCCAGAGAATAGCTGAGACCCCGCTAACCTGCAGTCGCTCTGCAGCAAGATGAGCAATGACAAATTTGAAATTTAAACAAATAAACCTAGGAGAGAGACTATGAATGCTTTTTTAAGAGCATCTCTAGCTATAGCCACAGTACTACATGGGCTGGAAAAGAGGCAGTAGCAATATTCTCTTTGCTATGTACCAATATGAACTGCGTCCATTGTTGCATTGGGTAACTCTAACAACAGGAGCATTTTTCTACACGGTCTAGCAAAATCTGGGCACGGGAAGTTGACTCATAAAGAAAAAAAAGTACTACCCGGCGGAGAAAGGAACGCTTTGACATAATAAACAGATTGGTACTGCTATCACATCTGCTTTGAGCACAGCTGAGTTTGGATCTGCTATCTGATGTCTGCTGAAGTTTGGCCATTAATAATTAAACCTCAGCCAGTGCTATCTTAAAAGGGGAAAAAAAGGGCGGGGTGGGGGGGAAACAGCTCAAGAACGAGAAGGATCCAAAAGCAATTCTGACGTGATCAAAGAGGTTTCAGCAGGAAAGATGAACTGGGACCAAAGGGGCTGTTGTGGTGTGTAGACCTTTGCTACAGATGGTACTTTTTTCCCCCAAGCCAAGCTCCAATTATAGTCTGACATTTGCCGGAGGCTTATACTTTTCTGTCTGTTAACTGCTGGGCTCTCAGTGGCCATTTACACTGTGTGCACAATTAAAAGTGGATCTTTGATTATGATTTGGGATTAGGGAATGTAGCTCCTTGGCAAGTGTCAGAGTCATACAGCCTGCTGTGATCAGTGTAGTACTGCTCAGGAAACAACCCCCGGCATCTGCCAGAAGTGCCTCCCAAATAACAGAAACGTGGTGTTGTTGCGTGCCCAGCTTGACGTCTTTTTCCAGCATGGAAAAGTCTCCAAAAGCACCCTGCAGAGCAGCTCAAGGCATGGAAGATGAATGAGAGGAAATCAGATAATAAGGAGGCAGAGATTCCACGAACCTGCATTTAATTTTTTGGCTTTTGGCAGTAACTTCAATTGGTTTTGAGTGAGATTACAATCACAACCCTGTAGAAATATGAATCATTCAAGTCAAACTACAGCAGCTTTGTGCATGGAATCAAATATAAACAATACAGATTTTTGCACAATGCACACCTCTCAAAGATGCAGGAGTAACCTACTACTGGTTCCTGGGCAAACTTGTCCCTGACTGAAGGAAAAACACATCTGGGCTTCCTCGTCTCTTTATTGAAAGAGCTGTCCATTTTTTACTCCTGCAACAGTCCCCAAACTGCATGCTTGCGTGAGCGGTGAGAAATTAAATTAATAACTCTCAAATGTAATGCTGTAAACCCACACATAAATGTTCAGCATTTATTATTCACTGTTTATGAACTAATATAAGTACAAAACCACCAGTGACATAGGACTCTGGGCTGCTTATAGCTAAAGTTATAAAATGCAGTATCATAAAATAATTATTAATCCAACAGAATTTAAGATGGTAAGCCAGTGTAGGAATGTAGGTTAGTCACTTGGAAACCTAAAATGACCATTCCAAGTGGAGGTTATCAGCTAGGTTTGATTCATTACTCAGGCCTTGTAATCTTCTAATCATCCTTCTCAGGGTAGGGAGGAAAGAAAGTAATTTCTATGCATATCTGTTTCAGGAATAAACAAAGCAACCCGTCCTTTATGAAGCAAGAACATTTGTCTGTCTGGTTTGCTTCTGTCTAGGTCACCGTTTTATGTTTGGATTCAATCTGTCTTGAGAATCAGTGACTCATGAGGGCAAGTAATTCTTGTTTTCAAACTTAGTACGTGAATCATTTTCACACAAAAGAATGAAATGTCCCATTGATTTAAATTGGGGAGGGAATATGGTCAGGGGAAAGCCATTCAGAATTTCTGTAATTTTGCTTCCATGTATAACAGTGCATTGTACTCTTCTTGGGTTGTAGCACAAACGTATTTATTTAAAAATTATTTATTCTTGCTTACAGGAGCCCGCTGCACCAGCCAATAGGCTTTTTCTTGACACTCCAAAGTATACCGGTCTTCTTTCTTTCGTTCCTTTCCTGTCCTGAAAATCCAGGAAAATAATTACTTTTTAATAAATCAAAAGATGAGATTACAATTATTTCTCAGGATGATTTATACATTCTGACAGGAAATAACAAACATGGCATGGAATTTTCTTGCAGATCTTTAATACACATGATAAAGAAGAATCCACCGCTTCATTCCATAAATATTCCCTTCCTTGGATTCAGGGACCGCTCCTTATATCTTTCTCTCTTAACCATAGAAATAGTCCATCCTTTAGTGACTTAAGAAAATGGCAAGTAAGAAATTTTCTAAAAAACATTACAATAAGGCAATAGCATTCTCCCCATTTTACAGCTAGGGTTGAGAAGGTTGGGAAGGGTTGCCTGTAGCCATTTATAGAGTTCTCAAGCTGAGATACAAACCAACCACAAACTTTACTGCAGTATTATGAAATCGGCTATGGGTAGTCACTAAAAAAAGTTCTCCAAAGACCGATACCAATGTAAGCATCCCCTTACCAGAGAAAAAGAAAATAACATCTATGCCTCTCAAACAGACCACGCGTGCTCCTGTCCGTGAATTTTATTTATGTGCAAAACTGCAAGTCAGTTATTGATGTCGAGGTACCAAAGCAAAAACAGAGCCATGTCAATTTTTGATGACTCTTCTTAAAAGGAGGGAGAAGGTAAAATAAAACTACTCTGTTACCGAACACCTGTAGCTGCTTATTGCTTATTCCTTTGCTCCAACAAAATATAACCTCCCCAGTTAAGAAATGGCTCTTACCTGTACTGCTCCTTGGCCTGCATAATAATGAAGTCCCATTTGTGATTGATGTTTTTGTTCAATGTATTATAATGTTCCTGGAAAACCAACAGGGAGAGAGAGAGAAGCAAAGGCAACCCTTACGCACTCACAACAGAGGAGGTGAGAAAGAGCTGCAACACTGACTTTGTGGGCCAAGCATAAAACAAGCATAGCGGATAACATTTTTCACCTGAGCTTCTTAACATTGATCACAACGACAATAGTGAAGCGGTCAATACTTAAAAGCGATAAAGGTTTTAACAGATATGTTTTAAAAAAAATAATGAAAAAGAAAAGGCAACATTTATTTGATTTTACATATGTATATATCGCTTGTGGTTCAAGAGATCCCCAGGTAGAGGACAGAATTAAAAATACATTGAAGCATGTACAATACGATACCATAAAAAAACATATAAAACGTAATAAAAATGCATAATAATTGTACGGAGAGATGTGTGCACTTCAGATTGAAGCCAAAAAGGTGCTTTGGAGCTGGCATGGATGTGTACCCTCCATCTCCTTAAGAAGCGGTGAGCACAGGAAAATATCTGCTCAGAGGCACCTTATTGTATCCCACCAGTGCCTCCCTAACTCAAGTGCCTACTTTCCTGCAATTGTGCAGCCACTGGGTGAACCCAGGAAAAGACGCAGCTTTCTTTAAAGCTGAGGTAACAGATCTAATTTGCATGCCTGTGCTCACCCCAAAGACCCTTTTGGCTTTGGCTTCAAAGTGATACACCCCAGGTTGCAAGGACGGTAGTTCAGCTGCATCGTCATGAGCTCAAACTGCCAAAATGAATCCAAAGTTTTTAGCATCCACCCAGATCACAGCAAATTCAGCGAAATGGTCTGACTTTATGTGGATGATAGTATATCTTTGCATAAACTCAGATCCTGCTAATCCTGGTTGTTTTGTTGAATTAAAAGAACACAGGAAACTGTCTTGCTACCTTAAGTCAGTTTGCTACTGCTGCATTCGGAGACCTTCCTGATCACACTGCCAAATATTGGGAGCAAAACGTAAAAATTCGGTGGTGTATTTTTGGCCTCCGTGAAAATATAGAAAGAAGTCTGTTTAATCTCTGTAAGGCTTAATGCACCTATTCTCCCCCACAACCAAACCCCCACATAAAACCCTAATCCCCAAAATTAACATTGTCCCTCCAGATACATTACCTACCCTAGTCTGCATTATCAAGTAGTGTTTCCCCAAGAACCTGTGCCTGCAGAGATCTCCCTTGGTGCATGCCAGGATGCAGGGTCTATCTCATTTTATTTTTTGAAATTCTTTTAATGAAAAAATAAGTACAGCCGCAGCTACCATACCTCAAAGTAAGTGCCAACTTGAAACATAACCTTTATTTTCAATGTTTCTGGGCTCTACGTATATTCCTGGCCTGAGAATAACTCATGCCCTCCTCACTTCTAGGATAGGAAGATCTCCTGCTCTGCCCTATACAAATTCCAAGTGAGCATCTTCCAGTGGAAGAACAGGTGGTAGTAATATAACCATCTGCCCAAGCAAAACTCTTTCCCCTGAGAGAATGGCCAGATACCCCATTCAAGCAAAGGGGGTAGGAGGATGGGGATCCCAGAAGGAATCAGGCAGGCTTGCCTTTGTGGTTGTGGCAGAATTCAATTCCTTCCTGCTACAAGGTAGTGGAGATCAATCTTACCCATTTGCTTTCTGGTAAATGAATGTTTTGTGATTAACCATGACCAGACTGGTAGCCATGTTGGTCATACTGTTGGGATGCTGTTAGCCAATGCCAGTTCAAACTAGAAGACAGCACTCATCCATGGTTTGCATCACTGAGATCTGGCGTGAACAAGCCAGTGGTACGGACCTGACCCCACTCGCCCAGCATCAGCATCTGTCAGAGGGGTGGGAAGAGCGGTCACAGCCCTTGATTAAAATTCTGCCTCACCAAGAAACTAATCTGTCTGGGAGCTGGCTGTGATAGTTTGTACCTGGCATTAGATCGCATCTGTCCTGCTTCTTAAGATTTTCTCTGCCTGAGCTGGTGGAGGCCATCTCTGGGGTGGACATGTAGAATCCCAGGACAGTTGTCCTGGGAGACTTCAGTATACAGTGGTACCTCGGGTTACGAACACCTCTGTTAACAAACTTTTCAGGTTACGACCAGCTCCGGCTGCAAAAATTTACCTCGGTTTGCAAACTCTGCCTCGGGTTACGAACCGGATCCACGGGCATTTTCCCTCCCGTGACATGGTCTGCGGCCATTTTTCTGCCCCTGACACGTGCTTCGTGGCCATTTTCCGCCCCTGACATGTGGTCTGCGGCCATTTTTATGCCCCTGACACGTGGTCCGCGGCCATTTTCCGCCCGACATGTGGTCCGCGGCCATTTTCCGCCCCTGACACGTGGTCCGCGGCCATTTTTCTGCCCGACATGTGGTCCGCGGCCATTTTTCCGCCCCTGACACATGGTCTGCGGCCATTTTTCTGCCCGACATG